TTCCAATATATATACAATACTATTAGTACTGTACGTCAGAAGTTTATTTTGCAATAGGACAAGCCACGAGCTTGACGTGGGCGTTACACTGCCTATGGTGTAACCGGTCGACGATAATCAAACCGTACTTTCAATTAATATATTTTATAGGCATATAGCTAAAGCTGATTTTATACTATCACCGCGACGTGACATGGTGTTTTCGAAAACGGTTGATTTTTACAAATCGCATCGCACAATAGTGTTAAATAAATTATGCACTTTCTTAGTTAACTGAAATAATTTCTCTTTTTCGTCGAGGAGTAATTTTTGATAACTGATACTTTTCGCTTATCACAAATACTTCGGATATTCTAAAATATGTTTATTTACAATATATCAGATCTTATAAGTTCGGCGCTATATAATAGGATCAACTCAAAACCATAGCGCCTCGCTACTTGAGGTCGCCTGAATGCGTGACCTCCGACCGTGTAGGTGCAGACATGTATAATCTAACATTTTCGTATGTGTTTATACAATTAAGTATTTTTTTTTTATTTTGTCGACCCACCGACAAGCAACCGCGGGGTCTCGACCCGAAAACCCCCATATCCGCCGCGGTGGTCCCCGACCAAGCTTTGTGCTTCTCGGCCGGTTAATCTTCTGTCTCGTCTCCGAGGTGAATACAAAAACAACACCGCCGCCGCGCCACCGCCTTCGACGATCCTTCACACGTTCAAAGGAACCGTTTTATAATGATTGTGATCTCCCTTTGTTTTTGTGCATAACACACAAACCATGGCATTGTTCACGACCACCACCGCCGATCATATTTAATTAGTTCTAATGATGATTTATGCGCGCACGCGCTTCTTATATCCACTTTCCTTCAGCCGACTCGATACACAAAATAGTACGGTTGTGATAGCATTACAATATCGTATACAATACCTACCTTCAGAACAATAATCTGTTGCGGGGATTTGAGATTTTTCCATTCTCTCTGGTCCCGTCAAATAATCACTTCTGGCCGGAGCGACAATATAATAAACCGGCCGCTATGTACAAACGTGTCCCGGCAAGTGGCCGGACGATTTACCATAAACGAGCTTTCTCCCCCACGCCGACTTTTAGGTATTTATGCAAAGAAAAGCCGCCGGTCCGTCATCCATCATCGCAGGATGATAACAAACACGAGGCGATCGTCGTCGAGGCACACTGTTCGCGAATCGCGCCCCGAGGCTTTCCTTTGGCCGAGAGTGAGCGAGATAGAAACTGTACATTATAATAATATACATACACACACACACCGAAGTGGCCGCTACTATTTACCAACGCCGCGCGAAGATAGACCGTGCCGTTGAATATTTTAACGCCTTTCATTATAATAATAATAATAATTCCCTTACCGCATTTGTCAAAGGCCGACGGAATGATCGATGCTGTTGTTCCTTTTGATACGGCTTATTGTTGTGTACATAGTATGTATGTGTGTTTCTTTTATTTTTTTTTAATTACGAATGATCGATGCGTCACACCCATTACCGTGCGAACCATTTTTTTTTTGTGGAAAAATAAAAAAAATCCACAAGGGACGACGGTTATCGTTGAAGTCGACTTAGAGACGCTCGAAAAGTGCGATAGGTTCGCAAAGTATTTCATGTATATTGTAAGGGATTGATTGCCATCGTCATCGTAGGGCAAGACATGTGATGGCCGGGTCATATTAGGTAAACAGTTATAAGGTATACTATACTTGGTCGGCCAAATAAGCGGCCTTACAGCGAAGGCAACGAATAGGCCATCGCATCACTACTCGGCTCATTAAAAACTCATGGCTGCTTGTATTTTTTCTAACAATATAATAAGAATACCTAAATAGTTGAACAATTCGTAATGTTTATTAATTTCATTATTGTTGATACTGTTAATAATATGTTACCTATATTGTCGCAGGGGCCGATTTGTAACTTCATCTCTAATAGGCTATTACCGAGCGTTTAAGAGTATTCCGTTAGCCTTAGAAATGCTTTACAAATTTTTTTTCTAGTATATAATATACATATACTCCTTCGATAATGAATTATCTTATTATATTTACAGTGTAACGTTATGATTTCCTGATAAAAAAATAAAATCCTCTCAAACCCTTTTCCGACATTGATGCGACGCTTGCGGTAAATTATAAATCATCGCCTGTTTCTCTTTTGTATAATATAATATAATATTTATTTAAAAAGAAGCTTTCATCTGTGAAATTGAACCGCGCGGTGGTTTTTTACGTTTCAATCGCAGATGCTACTACTCATCGACGAGTCATGATTCACTGTCAGTCAAAGGTTTCCTTGCAGCGTACACACGCAAAAATAAAAAAATGAAAATAATAATAACCCTCCTCGTCTGACCTCAGGGACGATTTACGTCTCACGTTTATGTATATTATTATTTATTTTTTGCCGTTCTCACTCTCACTCTCTCTTGATGTATCGTATGCTAATCCGGAGAGTGCAAATTAATTTCAATTTAAACGAGTCGAAATGTATACTATGCGTGTGCGTGTGTGTTGGCCGGGCGGCAAGAGGGGAGGGAGATCCCTTTGCTGCCGCCGTCACTTAAAGCCAAGAAACGGTTATACGGCAACAGCAGCACACAGTAATCAATCATCCCGCTCGGCACTCTCTTTTTCTCCTCTGACTGTCAGCACACACACACACACTGCACCGGGCTCGGTACACGATGGTTGTGTTGTTTTTTTATTATTATATATTCCGTAAACTCGACGCGGCGGGGAGGATTTTAATTTTAGCATATTGTTTCTTTTCGGTTCCAAGACAAACAAACAACACATATATACTTCCCGGCGGCGGGTCTCTTAATTTCCACATAAACCCCAATCCGCAATGTACACGGAGGGGCGGGTACGACCGCCGGACGATGATGGATTGCGCCCTAGGCCCTTCGTCACACCTCCCCTGTGTTTTTATCATTAGCCAAGACCCGAAAACGCGGCTAATTTAAATCATTTTTTTTTTTTTTGGTTATTTTCATCTCTGTCTCTCCTCTCGCTCACTTATTCTTCGTCGTACCGGCTATTGTCCGTTTTCACACTTGACGTGCGGCGTAGGTGAACTGTTAAGCTTTCCCCCGCTGTACCAGCCGTAGACGAGGGATTTATTAATATATACATGTGCGTACACAACATATATGTATACAAGGTGATCATTTTATCGCGAATCACTCAATATCTCGTAGGGTTCAATAAGAAATTTAATTTTTTTTCCATATTGTTTTTATACAACGTGATCATGATTGAAAATTAAATGATAACGTTTATATTTAATTAACATTTTTAATTGTTTCGTGTTTCAAAAGTTGATATAAAAATAATTAGTTTGGGAGGTTTCATAAATCAAGGTAGGAACATAACAATTTATGGAAAATTGATATCACATTTAATAAAAATGAAATTATTAATTAAGCCCGATGAGATATTGAGTGGTTCACGATAAAATGATCACCTTGTATATGTATATTATTGTGCAAATGTATCAAAGTTGATCAAATAGGATTTGCGTCAGCGCGTGCAGGAAAGAATAACCATTAAATTGTACTGCAGTGTGTATGCCTATTATTATGTATACGATTACTGTTTATTTAGAAATCATCGTAACGGAATGGCGCGCGGAGGGATTCACGTTGATCTTTTTAACAAACAAATGGGTCTCGCGATTTACATGTTATTTGTAAAGCGAACACGCCGCGTCGCCAAGGGACTCGTTTATTAGCGTATACTCGTTTTTTTTTCGTTCCCCTAGCTCAATCAAATTAACATTTTCCGGTAGCAACGTCATCGACGCAGTATAAAATCAAACCAAAAAAAAAAAAAATAGATATACCGGTAAGGACTTGACCTTAAAAAAAATATACGTAATAAATATACATCTAGTTATTTTTCCATTACACGTACAAAAAAAAAAAAAAAAACAAAGGTACACAAACGACGCGACGGCTTGGTTTTCGGGACGCGTTGAAAAACGATTTGTTTCCACTACTGCACTGCAATTGGTATACTATATTATGTACGCTTATTTGGTTTTCTCCGGTAAATTGGTACTTGCGGTATTATTACTGTTGTTATAGGAGGTCATTTGGACATCGTTTAATTTCCAGCGAGTGGATGACTGCCCTCCCCCGTATACCGTCCGGTCTTCTTGTTCTTCCACTAAAACGACCGGACGAAAAATCGATTATCGGATAGCTATTAAGCAAAAGGCAAAGCGGCCGCATCGTCGTGGACTTACATATAAATGTATATTATATAATAATATACATACATTGGCCACCGCCGCGGTCCTCTTGTGTTGGACGATGACAAATTGTTACCGGTTGTGGCGGCGCTCGCGATCAAAACAGTCGCCCGACATAAATCACGCCACCGCGTGGCTTTAAGTAGCACCGGCCAAAATCCACCGACCGGCGTCTTATTAGTCAAAGTCCTAGTGGATAATTGAATGTGTATGTGTGTGCATAAAGGTCAAGTCAGACGTCGCGCGCGGTATCGAGTGAAGGCCGAGGACCCCGCTGCGAAAGGCTAATCAACATCTATAACATCCATGTACATAAGTTCAATAATTACCGTTTCGGTTGTGTGTATGTGTGTGTGTTTTATTTTTCGGAACGCGCGTGCGTGTTCGACCGCGGCGGTAAAGACAAAAACCCATCAGTCACACGCTTATAGAGTTAAAATAATATTATAATAGTTCTGGGTGTATAACGAGTTGTGTGTACAGCCACGAATGCCATTACAGGCGATGTCCATTAATATCCCGCATGGTTCGGCTGTGTGGCCTATCATCAATAATTTCCCAAACGCTACGTACAATTTAGCGTTGTCAACGACGGGGGGATGGGACGGGGAAAGATAGGGGAAAACTAATTAAATATTACCTATACGTTCACAATATTCAAATGTGACTAGCCTAATACGTTTGTACGTTTTGTGTTTGCACGTGATACAGACTCGCCGCGCATGGAAAAGTCACCGCTGCTGGCCAACGGCTACAACCATCCGCCCACGCACTTAGGACACATGCAGTACATGCAGCAGTTCAACCATCATCACCACCACCCGGCCGCGGCTCACGCCATAATGAACCCAGCCGGTCTTTCGCATCCGGCACTACCCCGTCCTGACGCACAACTACTCAAGAGCCAGGGACTGTCCATGGAAGCTTTGGCCAGGTGAGTGTCGATCTGCAATTTACAGTAATTAATCGTTAATCGACTCTTTTCACAAAATACGTGCGTCTTATGGGGTTTTTGACAGATTTACTTGTAACATTTGATCGTTAATAGATGCGTTATACTATTAATAACGCATTGAACAACGGCGTTATTATCTGTCACATTTATGTTTACACGTATACACACAAATATGTACCTTGAAAAATGGCTAACCTAACTTAACGGTTGGCGAATGATTGTACGAAAATTCATTGTTAAAACTAAAAATGTAAAAAATTCGGCCAAAAATGTTCAACTATGTTGTTAACTATAACTACAAGTTTGTTATACTGTCAACCTAAAGGACGAATTGATTACAAGTGAACAAAATTATTAAAAGTCTTTGAATCCACAGAATCTATTTTATTAGCCCAATTTTCGTTCTGTATATTTATGAAAAACGCGTTTCAAATTTCAATTAGGGCATACGACATGATTGTGTATCTACTTTAATGATAAACAAAAAGATTTTCAACATAAACTAAAAGACGTGAAAGACGTGTGAAGTACCTCACCAACAATTTATATGATTTAAACTCTTTTAACTTCTACAATTATACTATTAAGGATATACATTTTTTTGTATGCCTCCTGGTATTAAGGAATGTTGATGCAGTGGCGTATCTATACTTGGCCAAACATTTGTTGGCGTCCTGTAAAAAACTACACCACAATGCCCTTACTGCTGCCATGGTAAAACTACGCCAACATTTTGGCTTTAACAGTCTTCGGGATGAAGACCTTTGTGTTGTATACTAATTTAAGTGGGCCCACGATTATTTTGTTGAATTTGAATCTATTAATGTCTTGTGCAATCCGACAATAATGTTATCCATGCGAACGGGATTAATTTGTTTTTTTTTTTTACAGTTCGGGTATCTGGGAAAAGGCGTACGCCGGTTTCATGAAACAGCTAGAAAGGTAAGAAGAAGACGTTTTATACATATCCACACGTATATTATGTGTACATGCTTTTATATTATTCGTATACAACATAGTTTATACACATAACGCCTTCTCGTTGCGGTCCGGTACTAAAATAATGACGGGCCGTTTAACGAGCTGCGTACGAGGAGTGAGGGGGCGTGCGGAAATTATACTCAGTGTTTAATATACGACCAAACTTGAATGATACTCACACACACACATATATACCGCGTATCGAATATAAAACAACTTCTAATAGATGTACAGGCGCAATTTTCAACTCTTAGACTTGTCCGTATATCTATTTTAATGTTGTGTGCGCGGTATATTATATAGGCAAAACGCGCTGGATAGAGTTGATCTTTATAATATGCGGCAAATGATAACGGTTTTTTTTTGCGGTGTTGGCTAAAATTTATGATCCGAACGGCATCGGGTTCTGTGTAATTATCGTCCGTCGGTGTAATTTCATTTAATAGCTGATTTTCTGTTGCACCAAACGCACGATTATGAAAAAATACCTCACTCGCACGATGCAGTTTTGCCGGTAATCGGTAATGGTGATATAATTCACAGGAAAACGGTAGAGATGGGTTTTCTGTTTGGTGGAAAATATTTAATAATATTATTTCAATCGTAAATCTCAATAATGTAAAAAAAAAGTTGATGTAATAATTTTCGTTGCTTATTGCCCGCAGAGGCGCGCGGATAATAATATATATATATATATATATATATATCTATGTAAAAAAAACTTAGACGTATAAGAACAAAAGGACACCGTTCAAAAAACATATATAAATAAGCAACGGATGCAAATTGAATTTTACCAAAGTTTTCACTCCGGCGCGGCGTTTTCTTATGTACCTATATTTTTTCTGATATTATTATTATTAGTATTCTTTTTGTTTGTTCGCGCATACCCATCTCAGACGTTCGGTGATCTAATTTATATCCGGCAACAGCAGCCGGCGGTTCCCTCCGGTTGTATCATTTATAACAATTTTCTTTTGGCGCGCAACCGTTAAAATAAATAAGGGCAAGCCAAGCAAAAAAAAAACAAGTAATGTTAGCTCTTATGCGCGTCGTCGCGTCCGGGTCGTTGGCAAAAAATAAAAGAAACGTTTTACACGTCTCCGGAGATTATGTGTACCGTGCACATACATATTATACACCACCGTTGTTGGGTTAGGCGGGGAGGGATGCGGGATAAGTTGTGCAGTAGGGAGATCAGGGGTGGATGAAAAGGAATAACGCCTATTATAACGCCGCCGCCCCACGACCAAGTGGACTTTTCGTTAAATATTTACATGCGGCAAAGAAGTTATTAACTTCTTTTTGTATACACGATGTGCGTAGGCTCTTATAGACTGCAATGATAATTGTTCTTCGTAATTTCGTATTTCAATTGGACCGGTCCGACGGCCACGACGGTGGCAGGCAATTATCATTATTATTTTTGTGATAGCTGTCGTTTTTATAAAAATGTTTTCCCTTCGAAGATTAATACCGTACTGCTACCGTGCTGCTGCTATGGCATAGTAGTAGTAGTGCACTCGGCCGATTGATGGATGACGTTTTCGATCCGCCATCTTCCGTCCAAACATATTCGTTTAATATCGTCGGCGACGAGGGCGAAGAAACGTGAAACAAATAAAAAACGACAACGCGGAAAATCTTCCATCACGTGTCCGATACCGACGGCGGGGGAGAGGGGAAATATGAAAAACGACTTTCACGTCTGCATCACACCCCTATTGGCTTCTTCCCCGTCCGCCCGCACCGCCGTGTATCGTCAACGGTGGCATAATGAGAGAGAGAGAGACTCAAGAATCGAATAATAAGAATTGAACTCGTGTTCTTATTTTTTTTTTTTTTTTGCTACCACGTTCACCCTCCTGTCCGCTTTATTCTTTATGATGTACACGCCGGTTGTGTGTGTATGTGTGTGTTCGCGGTGTGCTTAAGGGGTTGCCAGATGCGACTTCCATTACGCCAATTTCGCTTTATGCACTGAACGCGGCGGCGGTGGCGGGTAAACGACATACACTAACGATGGTAAATTTTTATAGTGTCGTCGCGCCCGAACAAAGTGTTTGCCGCTCGGCGGTGGGTGGGCAAAACAATGTCGCTAAAACGTCAAACGTTAAATTACATTTTTATTCGAATTTCTCGGCGCGTAACAAACAACACTCTGGTGGGTAAGCGATAGAAAAACCTTAAAGAGATACAGAGAAAAAAGAAACTTTGCACAATCGTTATGCGTATATAAAAAAAAAAACAAAGAAAAAACTTTGTCAATAACGATAAGCCTTAAAGACGAAACGCTGCCGCATTATTTGTGTATGTGTGTGTGTGATATTAAAAAGGGATTACGGTTTTTCTTGTACGTGAAGTTATGAGTTTAGTTGTCTTTGCGGATAACATAGGATTCGAAGTACAGAGCGGCACAGGCTGATTCCTTAATGCCGCGCACTGCATTTTTTTTATAAAAGTTACAACACCGCTCAAAAAAAAAAAGAAAGTAAGTTGTTTGTCAATGTTTCGGATAGCATTTTTTTGTATGAGACGTTTAACGCCGCCGCCGGGCACGGGCGAACAATAATCAATAATAGATATTTTCAACGAACAACGCTTATCAGGGCTTTTGACAGAATGATTTCATAATGATTTTTTTTATTGTTACCATTATTATTATTATAATTATTTGTATTTAAAACGCACAAACGGGCGTGCATAATATGTCGGATTATCGCGGTTAATTACACGGCATTAACAACTGGCGGCCGCGGCCGGTTGTTGGGTTTTCATATTGTTTTTGGTACATCCCGGATTTCAGCCCATTGTTCCGGAGTAGAATAACAATCATAATAATAATAATAATAATCGTTACCACCACCTCTCGCGGGTATACCGCAATCGCGCTAAACCTCACCCGAGTTACACACACACAGAGGTGCTTCGGTCGAGTAATATAATAATTAGCAAAACCGGGGCCGACAACAAATCTAGATATCCAGCAACGGAGCGGTCAGCTCATCAACATCATCATATAGCATTATGACGGGGGCCCAGTGTTTTAATCTAATATCGTTGTTTCCTCCCCCGGCGCTTGTAGCCCAAGCTTTTGTCCGTAACCAATGCCTATTGTTTTGTAAAACATCTCATCCCTCTTCAACGCCCCTATAGGCAGCTTTGAATAATTTTCGGTTGTTATTATTAGTATTTATCGGTACGCCGGAAGTGGTCATTTATTGTGTGCCGTTATAAGCCCGCGGTATCGATATAGCGCACACAACGAACAGACGCTCTCATTTTTTTTTATATATTATTAATATTGAAATTAATGTTTTTACAAATCCCGCATGATCCGCGTCTGTCGTCGGTAACCGATACCGAATGAAAGAGATAATATTATAATATCGCCAGGGTATATACATATATATATATATATATATGTATTACTTTTCTTTTGTCCGCGTCGTTTTCGTATCATATCTTATTGTCAATATCGCATTGTACGACTGCGGTTCTTCTTATACTTCTCATCGACATAATGCCAATGACCGTCGGGGGATTTACAGGGAGCATTAAAAAAGATATTCGGTGGTTGAAATAAGACGGACGATATGATAATAAAGTCGCCGGTGCGAATGAGATAAAGGAACGGACGGCTAATCTCCAAAGTATTGGGGTTTTCTCTCCCACCGGACGCGTCTGAGCGGTCCAGGGCGAGGGAAAATATTGGATTTCAATTGAAAACTCGTTTTTCTCTCCGTGACCCCGAAAACGCGGACAAGATGGATTCATTTGTCACGGACTAGTGCGGTGTATATATGGAGAAAATATAAAAAAACCGCCCCTCAGGACACATTTTCGGAATCATAAATTCACTTTGCTAACTTTTTGCCGCGGGGACGTGTCCTTTTCACGCCGCTTTTGATATATTGCCCGTTTGGTAACTTTGCCGGGTTACATATACACAACACAATATGCGATTATGCGGGGACAAAAAAATAGAATAAACTTTATATACAAGAGATGTCAATATAATATTTATACATAGACCGCGTATATACATATTACGGACATTTACTATTTTTCAAGAAAATATCGCCCGCTGCAATACAGGTATTGTGCGCACTACAGACTAGGAACATTATATTAATATATGGAAACCGGACGAGTAAAAAAAAATATGTGTGTGGGCGTTGCATTTCAATATTACCCTCTCGAGCGAGGAATATAAGCCTGCTATGAATTTGAACCTTGACTTCAGCTTTTGCGGATCCGGCGCAAAGGACCAAAACCTCATAACAACGCTGGCTGACAGTGCGTTAATTAGATGTGTATCGGGATGCTGCCAGGTATATATTATATATGTCTTAAGTCTTTTGTAAACCACGGTCAGAGCGCATTATCACGAACGGCCGAGACTGATTCGTTTGGAATCGGCCGCCAGACTTCCGTATGGCGCCTTAAATTACGATCCCGTTTGACAGTGATTGCGCTCAATAAACACAGTAATGAATTGCCATCGGCAAAATATATTGCAACTATAATACACGTCCCGCAATCGTAAAACGTATAATATTATGTGTATATTTCGTCAAAACAACGTTATGTTTTATGAAACGTAGCCGTCGATAAACCCACTCGTACACCTCTATATGAACGCAGTAGTAGAAGGGTGAAATGACCTAGGGCACGATATGATTTTGTGTCCTCGGGCCTATTTGAATTTTAGTAAAATCCAATTAGTCATAAGCCCTCAAATAAAATATACCCGGTATATACTCTGTTAATATTAAATCCGGGGTTGCCATTCGTCTGTCGCGTCGTTGAGCTATGACTTGAAAACGCACTGCCGTCGCTCCAATTTGTTTTTAATTCTTATCGTATTGATACGACGTCTTGACGAGTAAGGTATGGGGAATGCGAAGCCCGTAGCATGGATTTATATGTTTTCACGGATTTACAAAATTTTCATCTAC